AAAAAAAAAAAAAAGAAAACAAAACAAAACAAAACAAAAATATATGGCTAACTAACCACAAAATTCTGTTTCTGTACAATGCTTGCTACCGTACCCGGATACAACTGGACAGCCTGCGTGCCAACCAGGATACAGACCAAGCCTTAAAAACCCGAACCCTTAAGCACTCAGGGCTGCTCTCAGAAACCCCATGTTGGAACACTGAGGCAGTCGCCAGCCGGCTCTTCAATAAAAGGACTCCTCTTTAAATTTAACTTGTTTAGCAGCGTGGTCTTTGTGGAACTCCTGGGCACAACATTCTGACAACCTGGACTCACAGAGTAAAGGAAAAAAATGGAATAAGCAAATTCAGGGCTTCACAGCCACTTCTTTTGTCTGCTGAAGCAGAGGAGAAAAAGTCATTTTTACTCTTTAAAAACACTGAGCTGCTTTTCCTCGTGTACTACGGCCACTCCTTCCTTTTTCTCTCTCTTTCACTATTTTTCTTGAGAAAGTAAATACTTTCTTTCCTAAAACTATGCTACTCTTGGTGTGAGAATTCTTCCTCCAACCCACAGCTCATAAGAGTGCCCCTCCCACTATTGAGGTGGGATTGGCTTCTGCCCTTTGCTGGACAGTGGACAGGGTGGTGGCTCCCAGATGGCTACTCCTAGAAGCCCCAGCCTGGGGTCTGCTGGAGCTGGCTACACTCGGGAGGAGGCTGCAGTCTCTGACTAGCTCAGTGGAGGTCAGGCTCTGGCTTGGAGTCTCACCCTGGGGGGAGCCGTTGACAATCTCAGAGTTACTTGGAAGCAGAGCTTTTAAGCCAGCCTACTAAGCAAGTCCAAGGGGATGGAGCCACCAGCACTTAAGTATAGTCTCATGGGACAGCAAAGCCACTCCTGCATTCCTAACCCAAAGAAACTGTGACCTAATGAATGTTTGTTTCAGTCATTAAGTTTTAGGGTAAGGTATGAACATAGCTGGTGGACAGGCAAAGCTCCATCCATCTCCCAGTTGGGCCAGATAATTAAACAAACATTTAATGCAAGTTATGTGTGTCACAGGAGGCTTCAAATGACACAGCAGTCCAAAGACAAAGTTAGAGCCGGCTACTTCTGTGCTGAGTTGGACAAAGAGCAGAGTTGTGAGAGAGATGAGGCCAAGGTGCACTTGGGTCAGGAGCAGAAGGGTGTTAACTTATCAGTTTGTTTATGCAAATTTCCTGATCCTTTGATCCTGGATAAGAATGCTATTTTACAGGGAGGAAACACCTTTTACAAGGGATTTCATCTCCTGCTTTTAAGAAACAGTAAGGGTGGCTCAAGTGGCTAAGGCGCCAGCCACATACACCTAAGGTGGCGGGTTTGAATCCAGCCTGGGCCTGCCAAACAATGATGGCTGCAACCAAAAAAAAATAGCCGGCATTGTGGCAGGTGCCTGTGGTCCCAGCTACTTGGGAGGCAGAGGCAAGAGATTCGCTTGAGCCCAGGAGTTGGAGGCTGCTGTGAGCTGTGATGCCATAGTACTCTACCCAGGGGGACAGCTTGAGGCTCTGTCTCAAAAAAAAAAAAAAGAAAAGAAAAGAAACAGTAAAGGTCAGAGGGATGTCTCCACATCTGCCTCTGTTCAGCCCATAAACTGGAGCGGCACATTCTAATGCTCCAGGGCAAAGCTGCTCATGAAGCTGGCCAATAGAGACTGAAAGTAAGAAGTACCTTATTGCCTGTCAAGTGAATTAAAGTTTTATGTGCCTTGTTCTTGATTAAAAATAAGATTTTTTTAAAGATAAGATTTATCGGCTC